CGCGGCTCCTCCTGCCCGCCCCGGTGACACCGCGCCCGGGCCCGCCCGGTGTGGGCGCGGCTCCCCCTGCCCGCCGCGGCCGCACTTCCGCCATGGCGGCGGGGCGGGGCTGGGCCGGCATGGCGGCGCCGGCGGCGCTGCGGCGGTGGTGGATGTTGGCGCTGGGCGGCCGGACGAGGTACCGTTCCCTTGGGCGCTCGGCCCCTTGGACCCTCCCTCGGGGGCAGCACATGTCCCCGCTGCGCGGCCCCGGYGGTGGTTGCGGGGGCCGGGCCTGCCGCCCGCTTCTGCGGCACGGCGGGGCTCCCTCTGAGCTCCCCCTCTCCCTTCTCCCCGAGGCAGCCGCTGCCCAGCTCCGCCGTGCTCGGCCCGAGCGCTGCCGAGGCCTCCGGCCGGCCCTGCCCGCGCAGCTGGCTCCTCGCTGCGCTGGGCATCGTCCTTCTCCGAGCCGGGCCCGACGGAGAGCGACCCCAGCGAAGGACAAGTCTTCCTCAGCGAGAGCTGCGTGAAGGTGGGGTGTCCGGCAGGGAAGGTTTCCACAAAACCCTCTGGGAGAGTTTCCACACTTCCTGGCCTGCCATGGGCACGCGGGGAGGACGTTTGAGTGTTCAACAGTTTGTTCAGCACGCCTTTTAATCCTCTTCCTTTTATTTATTTGCAGAGACTGCTGGAGATTGCGGAAGGGTCAGAATTTCTGAGGCTGCAGGTTGAAGGAGGTGGCTGCTCTGGGTTCCAGTACAAGTTTTCCTTGGACACAGTTATCAATCCTGATGACAGGCAAGGACACAGGGGCCTAGTGGTGTTCAGATGTTGCTGTTCTTTACAAAAATGGCAGCAGGGGTATGTGTGAGATGATAGTGTCTTGCACTGAAGGGAAGAAGCCTGTGAGATAAGGAGTGTGCTCAAGCTGCGCTTCTCTGTAAGGTCTTTGGCACAATTAATGGTTAAATATGCTGKTTTTTTTCAGAGTGTTTGAACAAGGTGGTGCCCGTGTGGTTGTGGATGTGGACAGCCTGGCCTTTGTGAAGGGTTCCATGGTGGACTACAGCCAAGAGYTGATCCGAAGCTCCTTCCAGGTGGTGAGCAACCCTCAGGCAGAGAAGGGTTGCTCATGTGGGACTTCCTTCTCTGTCAAATTCTGACTGGACTTGCCATGGATGGACACTGTTTGCAGGCACTTCTGGCAGTTTCCAGAGGGTTTATGTTTGTTCTTTTCCCAGCTGCTCTCTCTCATCTCCCTTACCCTGTGACACAGCTGTTACACATTGCTGCGGCTGTGTGTGTGTTTGCACTGAGCCTCTCTCCAAGACTTGTTGGCCTTCCCTTCAGAAACATAAAGTAACCATGAGCATGCATACAGGACCATGTTCAGCACCTTGTGAGCCGCTGGCTAGGTGGTGCTGACTTGCCTGCCCTATCCTGAATGTGGAACTACTTAACTGTCTCTGCAAGAGAAGGCTGTATATATATATATGTATGTGTGTGTGTTTATTGAAAGTTCTTACTAAAAAAAAATCTATGAGATTGGCATTATTTGTGCATTTACATGTGGGTAGAATCTGGGTTCTCAGGCTACTGTTGCTTATGCTTCTGGGATAGGACTTGGAGTCTTTTTCACGTGTACCTCCCAGAATTGCTGGCTCTCCACTCTCTGCTCACAGTGAGCTTTTCCAGATACTTTGTTCTTTCCTTGCTGAGCAGGATTCTCTTGGTCCAAGGAACCTATGGTGGCTTTGCTATAAGTTCCTGGAATGATGGTTTTTACTTGTTTCAGAGTTAAGTGAAACCAAAAAAATTCAGTAGGAAGAATTAAGAGCTTATGTCTTTTATATAAAAAAAAAAAAAGAAAAACCTTGTATATATGTAAAAAAATAAAATACACAGCTCTCTGTGCTCCAGTACTATTTTAGGCTGTTTCTAAGCCTGACATGGAATTTTAGGTCATACAGACACTCAGGTTTCAGTAGTGTGTTTGCTGCCTGCTTTTGCCAGCTGGAAGGGAAGTTAAGTTGATACAGGCAGAGGAGATCTGGAGTCCAGGAGATCTGGACTGTTTAAGGGTCTTCAAGTCCTTTTCACTTGAAGTTGTCTGGGAAGCTTTTCCATAATTTGCTTTACCATTTAGTCTCTGTCTAACATGCCTGGTTTGATGAAAGACTGGAATAGCTCCACTCCTTTCTAAGATTCCCGTGAAATGGGAAATCTAGAAGTCTCCGGAATAACATCCTTTTGATTAGTCATTTTCTGTGGTTTTTATCTGCTGCTAGATGTCTTTTAAATCAGTGATTCACCTGCTTCTGGATGAAAGGAAAGATGGGGAAGCTATTTTTGTTCCCTCTCTTGTGTTTTATCTGTTTAAGATCCAAGTCTTTCACGTGAGTGTGGGAGCACTTCATGACTTTGGTCTCAAGGGAACCACCTATGGCAAACCATGAGCTTTTTAAGACTCCATGCCACAGGCATTTTTTGTTGTTAAGCTTCCCCAATGTTTTTTAAACTATATAGTAGTTTCTATGTACAGCAATATTTTGCCTGTTTATTTCTAGTGCTCAGAGTTGATAGCTAGTTTCAATTTCATCAGTAGATGTTACAGGAACTTGTATATAATCTGCTCTGACTTTGTTCCATAGGGATGCACAYGGATAGGATGTGGAGCAGTGGCTTTCAGTTTAACCCTTTCCATTTTCTGCAGTCAACAACATCTGCCTAGTTATGTTGCTATCAGAGAGAGCTGTCACATTTTATAAAAGGGAGTAAAAGGATCTGGTTAAAAGACTTSTCTAAGCCCCTGCAGGGTGATTTAACCCTGCCCTTATGCTTCCAGATCTTGAAGGTGATGTCAGCCAGAACTGCCTTTGAAAAGCATAAGACTTCAAAGCTCATGTAGGTAGAATATATTGGATACACTCATTTTTTTTCAGCTGGGATAACTGTAAGTTGGCCAGAGGAATTACTTTGTGAACCAGGAAGATCCATTCTTGATCCRTTTAACACAGAATGACCTAGGTCAAATCTCTTTTGGGATCTTTTATGGGAAATAGAAGTGGAGCAGTAGTGCTGGAGAGGCAGCAAAGTAGCAGCTACCAAGGCTTTTTTCCCCTGGACTAAAGCCTGCCTTCAGCCCTTGTAAGCATGCAGGCTTCATCTTGAATTACTCTACTTGCTAAATGTAAATGTGCCATGTGTTAACACCTAGCCAGGTTCAACCTGCTTTTTCTTGCTCTACACCAGTGCAGTAGATGGAGCAAGTGCTGTCCACGTGGAGTGCCGCCCCTTTCAGAGAGTCTCTTTTTCCCTCTAAGGGTCAGAGGGTTAAGGCTTTGGTGCCAGCAGTGTCAGTTGCAGCGCTGCTGTGAAGCTCACACGYGTGATTCGCTCTGCCCGCGGTTCTGGCAGTACTGCTCTGACTGCACTAGGTGGACCCCTTACTCCTCGGGACTCACTGCACKGGACATAACACATTCTGGGGAGAGATTGGATCTGCTCCATGCAGGACCGAAGCAAGAGCAGAAGTTTCTTTGCAGCTGTCTGTTTTGGAGACAGGCAGGAGCTGAGTTTGGTATTGCTGCAGTGTGGTCTTTAGCTCAGAGAAACTGCTAGGAGCTGGAGAGACTTCAGCCCATACACCGTGTTGCTCTTGGCTTCCTGGTCCTGCTTCCTGGGAGAAGGTGTAACCTACTGGCCAAAGCTACTAGTTTTCCAGTTGCCATTAGAGAATGGGAGCAAAGGTCTGTCTGTCACCTCCAGAGCTGTTCTAGCTCTTAAGAAGTCTGTCAATACATCGGAACTTCTGTCAATGTTAGGAAGTCAGCCAAGGGGCTCTTGTTGGTGAAAGAATACAAAGGTGATCTTGGTGAATTTWGGCTTCTGAATTTTGGCATAAAAGGCTAGATCTTGGTTCCTGCTGAAAAAGCCAAATCTGTTGAGGTTTATGCGCCGAATAGGTGACAAAGAATATATTATGGCACCACACTGTAGGCTCTGGGGCAAGACCCATGGTACCAGGAGAAGGACACAGAAGGTTAGATGGGATTTGATTCTGCCTGGACCATGAGGGGCTGCCATGCATGCCTGCAGCGGGTCTGTAGTGTGGGAATAGGTGGGAGCCCCTGTGTGGAACCCCTGAGAAGAAGCTGRAGGTGTCGCCTTTGCTTCATGGCAAGTGAAAAACTGCAGTGGAAAATCTTTCTCTGCTCCCACATAAAGAAGGAAGATTCTCTCAGTTCACCCACCTGACAAGGAATGAATGATCAAGAAAGATATTTATGGAAACCTTAAGATGAAACTTCAAGTGAAAAGGGCACAATCATCAGTGTCACTGACAAGAAGGTAGAAGAAGATGGAACAGAAATTCGCCCTTTGGCGAGAGCTTCTGGGAGTTTTGTAGAGACTTGTTGGTAGATAACCAGCAGATCCTCAACCTGTGACTGGCTCAGTTCTTCAAATTCAGTGTCTACCATGGCTTGTTAACTGAGGGTCCCATTTCAAGCCAGGCAGTGGTAGGGAAATAGCAGATCTTTGTCATGCCCCTTTTTTCATGGTTTAGGGATATGTGTAAGAGTGCTGTGCTTGTGTCAGTGGAACCCTGTGTGATATCATTTACTACAGAGAGCATTTTGAGATGAGTGGCTACAATAAGACCACCAATGGTAGCCAACCTAAGGTGAACATCAGGGGAGTAACTGTCCCTCTCACCCACAAATTTTCATCTGCAAAGTTTCACTAACCTTTCTCTTGTGATATACATCTGTAAAGAGCTGTTGGGTGACTCAGGAAGACAACTAGGGTTGAGGAACCAGTACCCTCTGGATGACGCCCACCGGGGCTTCTGCTTCTCCCACATGGTAGTGTAACTTCTTGGCACTTTAAGGGCTCGTCTGAATCCAGCAGCTGGGGGAGGAATCACTGAACAGCGGAGGAGGCAATAATGGGAAGGCAGAAATGCATGAAAGAAGGCTTCTCTTGTCTGTGTCCCACGCTGTGAAGGCACATGCTTTGTATCAAGACTGTCTTCAGCCTTACAAACATTTGGTGGCAGCTGCAAGTAAAAACAAAGGGTTTTTTTAATTGAGTTTTTACACTGTGAACAGTTCCACTKGGAACTGTTGGGAAACTGGGACTGGTCAGTGGAGTTTATTGTATTATAGAATATTCTGAGTTGGAAGAGACCCACAAGGTCTTAAGTCCAACTCCTGGCCCCACACAGAACAGCCCCAAGAGTCACATGTACCTGGGAGCATTGTCCAAATGCTTCTTGAACYCTGGTAGGCTTGGTGCTGYAACCATTTCCCCGARGAGCCTAATCCAGCACTCAGTCACCCTTTGGACAAAGAATTTTCCTAATACCTAACCTAAATCTCCCCTGACACAACTTCACGCCATTCCCTTGGGTCCTGYCACTGGTCAACACAGAGATCAATGTCTGCCACTCCTCACAAGGAAGTTGTAACTGCARTGAGGTCTCCCTCAGTCTCCTCCAGGCTGAACAGACCAAGTAACCTCAGCTACTCCTCATATGGCTTCCCCTCAAGGCCCTTCACCATCTTCATTGCCTTCCTTTGGATGCACTCTAATAGTTTTATATCCTTCTTACATTGTGGTGCCCAAAACTGCCCCCAGCATTTGAGGTGAGGCCAGTTCAGGTCAGAGCAGAGAGGGACAATCCCCTCCCTGGCCCAGAGGTGATGCTGTGCCTGATGCACCCCGGRACAGGGTTGGCCCTCCTGGCTGYCAGGGCACTGCTGACTCAAATTCAACTTGCCATCAACCAGGACCCCTGGTCCCATTCGATGGGGCTGCTCTTGGGAGTCCAGGGAAAACTTGAAAGCAAGTATGAAGTTGTATTTCCCGATGAGCTGCTACAGCACATTCTTAAGGACTGAACCAAACATTGTCTCCACTAGCAAACACCACCATCAGATTCATTAGCAGAGAGCGTGATGGCCTTTGCAGTGTTTTGATGCCCCGTTTCTTTGCCTGTTTTCATGAACACCAGCCAAAGATCTCACCATGCTTCTCTGGAATGGGCCATGGCTGCCAGAGAGACTGGCAGTAGAGAAAGGGATAATCTTGTGTAATAGTGTGTTTGATATAACTGTCAGCCTGCCTGGATAAAGAACCACAGTTCAAGGACATGGAGCATTGGCAAGAATAAACTGCAGCCACCTGTATTGTATCAAACATCATTTTGGGAAGCTTTTTATTGGCTTTTTTTTTTTTTTTTTTTTTTTTTTTTTTTTTTTTTTTTTAAGAGGATGAGTCCTTGAACCAAATGCCATTAGGGGCTACATAGAGGATGAATGGTGCAGTTCAGATCCTGCTGGGTTCTAAGGAATATGTTTGCTCTGCATGGTTTCCAGGATTAGGCTGCAACTGGCTTTGATCTGTGCAGATACCTGCCCAGGAAACAGCTCAGTAGATCATGAACTTGGGATTGGTTTAGTATCCAGCTGTGGACAGAAATATTGTGTGAGTCAGCTGAAGCTGTTCATGACAGTGAAATGGGCCATTACACCAAGGCTGTGATTCCTCAATCCGTGGGGAGCAGTTTGTGTGCAATGCTTCCTGCCTCTGGTCTTCCCAGAACTTGTATGGCTCTTAATATTTCCTGCTTGAGCAATAAGAGTTTATGGTCCTAGTCTTTGTTGTTGATTAGAACCCAAGTTTGTGCCCCTGTTTTAATCAGTGCTCATTTACCTTTGGCATCCTTCAGAGGAGCAGAATGGTATGTCTTTCAGTTGCCATGGAAACAGTGAGACTAAATGCACATTTCCATGGCAACCTGCCATTATCTTCAGCTCTATCTGTGGGTCTCATTTTCTGACCATGGGGGTGGGGTGGTGAAAATGGAACTTCATCTCTTAAAAAAATAAAATAAGACCAAAGAAAGGTGCTACCACCACCATCATCACCTCCCCTTCCCTCCTCTGGCTCTGGCTTGGGGCTGAGAGAGGCCCATCACTACTGCTGCCATCCCATGCACTGAGGCCCCAAGCTATTGTCTTCAGCTTCTTCTCTCCTTCACTCTCTAAAAATAGACATTCAGAACAATTTGGTGACAATGTTCCAGCACTTCTCTGAATTCTTTTTCCTCAACTAATGTTCCTAGCAAAAGCCCATGAAGCTAATTAAACTTTCCAACAGATTCCAAAGGTCGAATGTCCCAGCTTCTTTTGGTCCAAAGGGCCAAGGGTTAATTACAGGGTCTAAGACACCAAGGAGAAGTAGCTTTTGTTTGCTATGACTGGAGGCATCAGGGCAYATCACATTAACCTCAGGAGTGAGGGATGTTCTTGCAAGGGGGGCAGCTTGGACTGTTGAAGGAGGCAGCCACCCATCGGAGTTAGGG